TTCTATTTTGTCTGAAGGAGGACACATTAAAGTACAGTGTTTTTTTTATGTTTACCCTGGTTATCTCAAATCATCTGATATCTTGTTTATTATGTTTAATCTTGGTACCACTAAGGTTGAAATAAAAAGATTTGATGTACGTTGCACATTTTTGCTAGTATTTTTGAAAATGACAAACTGGTGGCGTAAACAAATGCACTTTCAAAATTTTATCAGAACAAGAGATGTTTGTAAAACACTTATGCCCCCCTCCCCCCAAATTGGAATTTTTTGTAAGTCCAAGGGGCATAACTCTGTCAAATATGGCACGATTGTACCCAAAACAGAACTTGACCTAGATATTCATCTAATTAATCTGTATATTAAATTTCATCTCAGTATGTGCAACGGTTGCAAAGAAAATGAGCAGAAACTGCAAATAATTGAATTTTTTTCAAACTCCAAGGCGCATAACTCTGTCAAAATGGTGCAATCGTACCCAAAACAGAACCTGACCTAGATATTCATGTAGTATATATGTATACTAAATTTGATTTCTGTATGTGCAAAAGTTGCAAAGAAAATGAGCGGAAACTGCAAATAATTGAAATTTTTCCAAGTCCAAGGGGCATAACTCTGTCAAAAATGGTGTGATCGTACCCAAAACAGAACTTGACCTAGATATTCATGTGATATATCTGTATACCAAATTTGATTTCAGTATGTGCAACGGTTGCAAAGAAAATGAGCAGAAACTGCAAATAATTGAAATTTTTCCAAGTCCAAGGGGCATAACTCTGTCAAAAATGGTGTGATCGTACCCAAAACAGAACTGACCTAGATATTCATGTGATATATCTGTATACCAAATTTGATTTCAGTATGTGCAACGGTTGCAAAGAAAATGAGCAGAAACTGCAAGTAATTGAAATTTTTCCAAGTCCAAGGGGCATAACTCTGTCAGAAATGGTGCGATCGTACCCAAAACAGAACTTGACCTAGATATTCATGTGATATATCTGTATACCAAATTTGATTTCAGTATGTGCAACGGTTATGAAGAAAATGAACGGAAACTAAATGGACCGACCGACAGACAGCAGCAAAGCAATATGCCCTCCCTTCTTCGAAGGGGGGCATAAAAATTAACATACCTGGAGCTCAAAATCCTCCATGTTTAGACAGGAAGTCCAGAAATGAGGACAGAATGTAACACAGATTCATTATATAGCACATCTCTGGCACCTCCATCATCAGGTGGTGAGTACTTCCTGACAAATTTAAGACCTTTCTCAGTTGTGTCATCGAACTGCTGTTGCAGATGTTGACGCCCACTTTCTGGCATTTCTCTGGGGAGTTTCTGTAACCAAGTCATTACAAATGGTCTCCAACCAAGATCTACTGGGTCGTAAAAAAAAATAATTTATACATATATTTTTGTACATCACAATCTCTTTCTTTTAATGACTCAATCAAAGTGTTTTAAGAAAACCATCATTATCATGATATAACTAAATATTAATGTGTAGAAATGGTCATTGCCATGACACACAACTTTGGACAAATTTTAATGACATTATTGGTAGGACAGCTTAATTGGGATATTAAAGCCAATGTAAAATCCCTTTGCTTAGAAGTGTCTTACCATGTAAACAATGGCACATCTACTGATAGTGGCAGGACTGGCCTGCGATAAGTTGTCTACTTCAAAAATAAGCCTCATCCCGCTGGGTAACTGATTCTGTGGCCATTGGCCAGACAGAGGACTTTAGAGTCGTCCAGTGTTTAGATTCTCCAACCAGATAGTATCCACCGGTCCAATTAATATCAGCCACCTCCAGTTTGTTATCATAAGGTCCATGTGATCCTTCTTCTCGGCATCTTCATCCGCCTTTTCATCATGCATCAATGTCTGTCAAGAAAAAAAATCTTTTCATTCTTTATATTGTAAATTGACACTAACTTTTTTCTCTCTTTCAAATTTTTCCTTTGCTAATAAATTATTTTTCAAGAATTTACATGTAGGTATAATTCTTTTTTTCAAAGTATGCATTATTTCTTTGTAAAATAACCATCACTACACAAGTACTTTTTGAATTTTTTCATACCAAGCTTTTGTTGTTTTTCACTTTTATTTCTAAAAAAATTACCCACAACTACAAAAGAACATGGAAAAATCAACAGGGGTAGAAACTCCCAAATATAACTCGCAATTTATTGCGAGTACCATAAAAATTAACTCGCAATATCAAAATACAACTTGCAATTTTAAAATGAAACTTTTTCAAAAACAAACAGCCATTTATCCATCTTTTAAAAACTTTGTAATTTTCAACATGATCATCAAATGGCACATGCTCGTTCATTTAACCAGAAGTCTCTGTCGAGACTGAAGATCTACTGGTTTGTACTTATAGCAAAGGAAGAGAAAAGTACTTAAGCAGTTGGGAATTGAAACTTTACAACAGCAATAAATAGAATAATGATCCTTGAAAAAGTTTCTTTATGTTCTTAGTGTAGTCTACTTGTTTGCAGTTATATTGTAATCAGACCAAAACTGTAGGAGGAGTAGCATTTTGAAAGAATTTCACAGAAATTTCTATTTTTAGTAACACGGCAACACCGTTCATCGAAATCAAAAACTATTAAACAGAATTATGTATCTTAGTGTAGTCTATTTGTGTGCCAAGTTATATTGAAATCAGACTAAAATTGTAGGAGGGGTAGCATTTTGAAAGAATTTCACAGAAATTTCTATTTTTAGTAACCATGGCAACACGTTCATCGAAATAAAAAACTGATAAACAGAATTATGTGTCTTAGTGTAGTCTACTTGTGTGCCAAGTTATATTGAAATTAGACCAAAACTGTAGGAGGAGTAGCATTTTAAAAAATTGTTTACAGACAGACAGACAGACAGACAGACAGCTCGACTGACGGACGGACGCCGGACACATTACTATCGCATAAGCTCTTCTGGTCTCTGACCAGTAGAGCTAAAAATGGCAGATATAAACAGTAACTAAAGAGAGAAAGACTAAAATCCGATTGAATAGGATGCTTCTTTCCCTGTTGTAAATTACAATGAAAAAATCAACTCGCAAATTTTTGCAATTTCAAATATTTTAACTCGCAATTTGGATATTCTAACTCACATTTTGCGAGTTTTATGTAGTGAATTTCAAACCCTGATCAATTTGTTCAATAAACATGAGAAAATGAAAATAAACTTCCTGAAGTTCAAAATACCTGAGAGGCATCTGATATGTTAGCCATATTGTTGCCAGTGGATACGGTCTCCCAGCATGCTCCTCTGGTGTGCCATGTTGCTGCTGTACTTCATTGGGGAATTTTCTGGTTGCCAGAGCAATACGTCAGTCAGTCCAGTCTCTGGTGTAAGGGTCAAAGTCCTCAAACAACTCAGATGACTGGACACTCTTAGGGTTCACAGAGAACAACTCAACATGTCCCTTCTTCAGCCTACTCCCCTGTGGACAAAAAATTTAAAAACTTAATTTCAAAAATTGAGTTCAAATAATTCATCCATATTACTTCAAAAAATTTTAATTCTAGCACAATGATATACTGATTACACCCAAAACAACAACATTGCAGTGAACTGTAACAAAATTAAGTGATTTAAAAAAAAAACTTACAGGGAATAAGCTCTGTTTCCTGGAGGTCTCTCTCTCCTCCTGGGGTATGATTGTGGGCATCAGAATAAATTCCTTCTGGAGGATTGTTCTGACGGTGGTCTTACCCCCTCCTGTGGGCCCCACCAACATGATGCTGTGATGGACCTTTATCTGGTTATAGAACTGCTTCACCTTGTCTATCTGATGAGGCCAGTTCTGTAGGTTGTTGTCTCTAACTGCTATGTTTATAGCTCTCTACAGAAAAGAAAACTCACTGTTGAAAACTGATAGCTAAATTTTTATAATCCTTTTACAAAATCCCTTTCCATTTGTTTCATAGATCACATTAGTTTATCAAATATATTCAACTTCTATTTTTTATGAGAAATCAATGTGAAAAGTATCACTTTTGCTACCAAAGAACTTGTTATGCTAAAATTTATCGCTTTCTCATGATACACATGAATTTATCTATATAATTTTCCAATATTCAGACAATTCAGACGGCTCAACAGGAGTATATAAATATCAAATAAATATTCTCCATATTGTTTCATCCCCTAAACCTTCCCATGACTACGCACTTATGCTGTTCCTTGCATCTCCCATGACCCGCCATGACCAGCACAGACTTCATGGCTCTCATTCCTCAGTCATAGTGGTCCTGTTGGGATAGCTGTTTACTGGCCAGCTGGTACAGGTTTACGATCTTCCTGGACAGAGATTTGGCGGCAATGAAACCCTTAGAGAACAGCATGATCTCCACAATCTGGTCATAGTGAGGCATCTTCATGTCTACCGGCCTGAACTGGGACTTCAAGTTGTCAGGTAGATCTACCCTTCCAGCATATCTGTAAAAACATTCTTATCACAAATAGTACACAGAGTTTAATATATTAAATCCAATTCACCATTACAAAACCTAAGTTACCTGTAAATTACAACATATGACTCATGTGGGATTCATTGTTATGAAGTATCCACACGTAGGATTCAGTTTGATGTCTTTTCCTTCAAACATAAACCTCAGATCCCCTGTCTTTGGCCTGTTTTATCATCAGGATCTGCTGAGCCACAACAGACAACACTTTTAGATCAATCTGGTTAAATTCATCAAAGCAGCACCAGCTTCCAGACTGAGCCAGACCAGAGCAGAACTTCTCCAAGGTGTGGTACTCCAGCCCCTCCCAATAGTTAAAGACCATGCACTGCTTCCCCACACCCTGTGTGCAACAAAAATAAAGATAAATAGTTCTGTCATTTTGACCACAATTTTACTTTTTAGGCCTTTTTCTCCCCATATATACCTGGTATTTGAAATCCCATTTTACCTTGGCCAAATCCTTTACTGTTTCTGTCTTCCCTGTTCCAGCGGGCCCCGCAGGAGACCCCCCTAAATGTAGGTGTAGGGCCCCCATGAGGGTGAGGTAGCACAGGTCAGCAGTGAGGGGGATGATGACTAGGCGGGGTGAACATCCCAGGTACCATAACCATACTGGACCTGGGCATTAGACAGCATAACAAAACAGTTGTTACTCTGCTCATCCCATTCATAACGTAGATGTCTGCAAAGAGAAATGAGGATATGCGTCATTCAGATTTTTCATATGACCCATAAAAAGAGGTTCAGCTTCTATACAGTCTTCTTGAAGGGTTTTATTTTCTTAAAATAAAACAGATTAATTAATGATTTCAAATTCTATTCTTTAAAATAAAAAGTACATGTAAGGGATCAATACACTTTGAGAAGACTTTTCAATTCATCTCAAATAAGTTTACTATTTTTAACTAAAGGCAACTTCATTACACAACATGGTGCAAAACAAGAATATGTCAAAACAAATGACTTCAAATTAATGGATAACCTCAAATTAAGATCAATTAGTTGTATAAAACTTTACATGAAACTGCTATTTGTCTCAAAAAAAAGTTTCAATGTAGACCCATTCCATTTCCTATCAAGATATGATATCTTACTTAGTCCACACAAAGACATCCACTTTTTTGATCTCTTGCTCTATCATGCCCAGTAAGATGTTTCTGTTGTGTACATTGATGGTCAGTAAAGCCATGATGCTCTCTCTTTGATGAGACAGAATGTTGCCGGAGACCATGCGAGCTAAAATGTTCAAAGTGTCCACCAGCTTGTCCTTAACTTCAATCAAGCTGTTCACTACATTGGGCAGGTCAAAGCACTGAGTGACATTTTTGTTGAACATAATTTGTGTCTGAAAATAAAATACAAAATCAATAAGTAAAATGAAGAATTTTGCTTCACAGAGACTAGTAGCTAATAAAAAAAATCCTGTACAGTTTTCTTTAATATCAAATGTAAGAAAATGTGCATGGTAAAATTATTTCATAAAGTATTGTTAGGTAGCTCTTTGTATTATACATTGCTCCTTCAGATAATTCTTACTACATATCACAGTGAGGACCACTTGACCAGGATGCTTCAGGACCCATTCTCTTTGATCTGCTCAAAGCCAATCTGCCAAGCCTAGCTTCAGGTGTCTAAACAGATAAAGATTGAGTACATTTTTATACAATTGACAATTTAGAATCCTTGTAATATGATATTGATTAATAGGATAATTCTCTTAATATGATATTCTGGACAATTTTTCTGTAATGTAAAAACTACTTACTTTTTGACAGTGTCTATCATTCCATTTTCCACATAAACCAACCATTGTTCAACAGAACCTCTGGCTCTTATGTTCCTAAAAAAAGATTCAATTGTATTATATAAAGTCTCTTACTTATTTGACAAGTGGGGAACAATCCATGAGGAAAGGGGGGGAATGAAAAAAAGAAAGGAAAATTCTATACAGATCATCAAATTAATATAAACTACATACTTAGGCATGGCAACTCTTTCTCCTTCAGATGAGATCATGGTTTTGATGGTAGGTGGATTCTGACCAATCTCTAGATATTTGATGTTGCTGAAACACTTTCCGAGATGAGGCTACAAACTGAAGCAAGTCTGGTAGTGTCCATCCCTAGATGCATCATCCATGCAAGTCTGGTTCAGGTAGAGCTTATAGTTCCTTGGGAATGAAAATGTTGGTCAGATCCAGCATCCGAAGCAAGTCTGGTAGTCCCTAGATGCATCATCCATGCAAGTTTGGTTCAGGTAGGGCTTATAGTTACTTGGGAATGAAATTGTAGGTCAGGTCCAGCATGCATCATCCATGCAAGTTTGGTCCACGTAGGGCTTATAGTTCCTTAGGAATGGACCTGCTCCAAAAACTTTACTCTGGTCACTCATCTGGAAAATGTAGGTCAGATCCAGCATCCAAAGCAAGTTTGGTAGTGTTCATCCCTAGATGCATCATCCGTGCAAGTTTGTATCAACATATGTGAAGTTTGATAGCACCATCTTGAATGGTATGTTTAAAACTGAGCTAAACACTAATTTAAGAAAAGTGAGTTCAAGGTCAAAGGAAAGGTCAAGGTCAAAAAATGTTTATGCAGTTGCATAGCTCTCATTCTGTTACGTCATCATACCAAGGGAATCACGTGAGATAGCATTACGTCTGCGTAATAGGGTCAGTGCGTTGCTTCCGCTTGAGTGCCAATTACTGTTATTATATTTGGCTTGTATTCTTTTTAGCGCCTTTGAAGTAATAGGGCGCAATTTTTTAAGAACATTAAGAAATGCGCTAAATCATTACCGTTGTGAACGGCCAAATATAATACATTTACAGTATTATACGCGTCATTTTTTATTCGAGAGTTCAATTTTTTCACCTTCTTTTTTTCCATTTGTCAAAGTAAAATTTTATATCCGACAAATATATACATTTTTTTGGGGTGAAGTATCTTTATCTGTGGGTAAAATGTTACCATGATTTCATTTGTGAATTTTTGGATTTCATCATACACGTGGTGTTATCAACTTATCATGGCAGATGTAATGAATAAAACTATGGTGACAATAAATGAACATGCTGAAATAATTATTGACATTTTAATCATTTTTAGAGAAGTTAGGTCCATTTGAGGAAGTCAATCGGTATAAACAATAACCTGAACGGTGTATCAAAAAATTTTTTCAACTTATTTGTCGGCAAGATATATACACCCTACTCCCAATACTGTCGGACAGATTTCATGAATTTTTTGGAATCATCATACACGTTGTTATCAACTTATCATGGCAGATGTAAATTTTAGAACAATGTCCATTTGACACATTCACCTAACACATATTAAAAAATGAAGATATATTGAAGACTTTTAAAGAATTGATTTTTTAAAATATATTTTGATCAACATCACAAAATTTATATAACTGGCCCAAACTGGCAGATGATGAAATAAGCAATTAAATGTTCTTCTTTCCTATTTTTAAGCATTATGTGTCCAGTAGTAAGGAGCCTATTAGACATGTTAGAATAGCATAAAAGAAGAATGTACAAATGTTAATAATTGATTTATCAAAAAACATTTTTTATTTCCTTCTCCTTCGGGACTTTTTATTCTCATGTTCATAACTAAACAGATATTTTTGAAACAAATACATAATTATCTCACCAGCATGTCATTGTGCAATAAAGTCGTCGGCATTTTATTTGTCTTTTGAACGGGTGAAACGTTTTGAATGGCACTCGTACCGATGAATTTTACACTAAACCAAGCTAGCTTTATTATCTTAAAACCGGAAATGCGATTTCGTAAATTTGAAATCTCGATCCCGACTCAAATTTGACATCGAAAAGAAAAAAATGTTTTATTTTTTTTCTGAAAATTAAAAACCTTGAGCGGAGGGTTTGTAAAACAGAAAATAAAATAAATCCTGGCCTTAAATATGTAATTAGATCATTAGTATACAGTCCCTGAAACGTTCTACTTTCCCATTTTTCCGTTCGCTCACCGTTCGTTCAGCGTTCGTTCAGCGTGCGTTCACCGTTCGCTCTCCGTTACAGTTTTGCGTTCACCGTTTACCGTGCGCTCGCGTTCACGGTTCACA